AAGAAGTCACATAATTCTGAAGCTTGATGCTAGTGCGTGAACAAAAGTAGGGCTGGTCTGGCCTTCAGCTGTAAGTGGAAATTAAGGTGGCAAGAGACTCAGGACACCAGGATCTCAAATCTTCTGGGCAGCAGATCACCATGAATTACAGGAAAGCCTTCTCTCCCAGGTAGGAGATGGTACTGAATGTAGATAAGGGTGCAGTTCAAGTGTGTGATAACATAGCAAAGTGGCCCAAAGATGCAGAAACTAGTTCCCTTATTGTATTGAAGTGATACCAATGTAAGCTCAATGACTCTTGTTCTCCCTCATCACAAGATAGAATACTGCTTGCATGCTGATAGTTGAAAGAATAAAAAGCAACCTGATACATGTGAATGATTTCAAAGCAAACTCATCAACATCTAATTTCATTCTCATAACAGCCTTGACAGGTAGGCAAATGAGTGCCACTATCCCATTTGTGAATGAAGGTATCAAACTCTTCTACTGTGAGTTGTCTTCATCCTTCAAGGCCAGAAAAAATGGGGCTTTTTTCAAGCATCCTGGTCACGTAAAACCCTAGCAACTACTTAGAGTCAGACCTAGTAGGTGGCAAGGGAGCCATAGAAAGCCCATATGGAAAGCTAGGCAGGTGGCTCTGCTGCCACCACTTTTGTGGGAAGGTCACAGAGTATGTCTGTATTGGATCTCTTTGTGACTGTCATGTAGGAAAAAAAATGTAGTTCTTTCCATCACCTTGATGTACCAGCATCACCAGCATTCTTCAAATATTAAAGGAATTACTCACCCCTAAGTGCCTAGACAGGGAGCCATGGTGGCACTGGATTTCCATTGACTCCAGCAATTATCACACCGTGGCTCCAGAGAGCCTCCCTATATACTGTAGTTTGGATCTTGACTGTCCCCCCAAACCTCACATATTAAAAGTCTTGGTTCCCAAGGTGGTGCTATTAGAAGCTATATACCCTTTGAGAGGTAAGTCCTAGTTAGAGGTCCTTAGGTCATGGGCCGGACCTCTGAGGGGAATTGTAGGACCCCAGCCCCTTTCTCTTGCTCTTTTGTTTCTGGGCCATAAGGTAAGTGGTTTTGCTCCACCAAACACTCCAACCATAATTCTTCACACAGGCCCAAAGCAACAGGTCCAATCGATCACAGTCTGAAACCTCCAAAGCTGAGAGAAAACAGCCCTTTTCTCTTTATAAACCAATTATCTCAGGTATTTGTTAGCAGTGACAGAAAACTGACCAACACACTCCCTCACAAACCCTTTCCTGGCTGAGCTTTATGACAGTGACCTCCTCACCAATATCTTCCCATTTAGATCTACCTTGGGGTACTCCACATGCAGCACATTAAATCTCACAACTCTTATAGATGGGTGCTGTAATTATCCATGACATAGGTAAGAAAACCAAGACAGAGTATAAACCAGGTGCTCAAGGTCACGCAGCCTGGATACGTGTCAAGTCCATCTGCTTTATCTGGAGTTCCCTGGAGAGCAGCACGTGACCAGGTCTCTCAAGAGAGGTGGCATTTCATAATGTAGGTCACAGGGTTAGAGGCAGGATTCTAATTTTGGCTATTGAGCCTCAATCCTTTGCCCCAAACTGAATCACATTTGTCCTCTCTTCCCAGAAGCATGGGAGACCAGGTCTAAAGTAGAAACAACCAGAAAGTCAATTTCCGAGAAAAACTCTCTTTGGTAGTGCTTAGTTTCCAAGGGTAGAGGTGTAAACTCCTGAAGCGAAGTCTAGATTGCTCTGCTTTAGGTTGGAGACAGTGGAAATGAGGATGAGAACACATCCTCTGGGTTTACTAGAGGAGAAAACACCTGGTATATTGGGAAGATTTGCAAAGCATGCAAAGAAGCAGCTTAGCAAATGAAGGCGGAGAGAGTGCAGATGGCTTCTGCCTTGGAGCTGGAGCAGGGAGAAGAGGGATACACTTTCAGGTGACTTTGGTTGTCCCTGCTGTTGTTTCTCCTGGGTTGAGACACCCCGCAGAGCATGACTTCAGGTGTTTCCATTTGTGAAGTGAGGCTCCCACTTCTATGTCCCTTGTATGCAACCCCTCTATGCATCATGGAGCCCACATCATTCAACACATGTTGGCTACCAGCAAATTTTCCACTCTCCTAGGAACAGTTATCAAAATTAGCCAGTGTTGGCCCCTTCTGTACAGATTAGGAAACTGATGTAGGTGGGGGAAGAAGAGCTTGCTCAAGATTACATTGTACAATAGTGGTAGAGCCCAGACTCTGGGCCTTTGTCAAATGTAGAACAGTAGAAGTCTGGAGGCAGCTCAGGGCTCTTGGGAGATTCAGTTTAAGAATGAACGGCATTTAGATCTTAGCCTCATCCCTCCTGCCCCACCCCACTTTTGCTAAAGAGGGGTGGATGGGACATTCCCTAGATGCTTTCAAGAGCCTGACTCAAGGCTCATAGTGGGGTACACCGGTGGACAGTGTGGGTAAGAGACCAAGGCTGAGTACATGGCTCTACTTTAGGCCTGATCATTTCCCATGCTTTTATTAAGAGAAGTCAGATGTGATTTTGGAGACCTCTCAGTTCCTGTCCTGGGGTTCAGCTCAGTCCAGGGAAGTCAGCAAGCACAGTGGGGCCCCGCGGTGAGGGGAGAAGGGGGCAGAGGAAAGGGGCTGTGTGGGTGAGGAGGTTTGGAGAACTGACCTAGGTTGACAAGATTAGGTCCTATACTTCCCAAACCTATCAGTTCTACAAAGAGGAAACTTAGGCAGAGAAGATCGTGATTCACCTAGGGTGCCAATGGTTCTTACTGCCCTACACCGCTATTGTTCTGAGAAAACTCACAGCCCGTCACTCATGCCCGGCGCGACTCTCAAAGATCTCTCTCAAAGATCTCTCTCAAAGATCCCTCTCCACAAGGGAAGTTCAATTAGAAGCGATTAACTGGATAATTCCCTACCATCATTCCCGCACTCAGGTCTGGGATTGAAACTATTTCTTCTAGATAAATCCACGGCATGATTGCCCTCTGCCTGGTTCTGCCTACGTAGACCGGATCTGAGATGTGTCCCAGCTTCGTTTGCCACCAGAGCACGTGCTCTGCCTGCTTTGCTCTGAGCGCGGGTTTCCAAGCTGGACGCTGTTCGGGCCAGAAAGCGCCAGGCCAAGGGCCCAGGAAGGGCGCCTGAGCAGGCGCTGTCCAAGCGGCAGAACAACCGCCGCAGGCGCCTTCCCCCTCCCTCGCGGCGCCAGCGCACGGCACTATCGGGCTCAGCTCCCAGTCGCCTGCCACCGGCCCGCTGGGCACACGCCTGGGACGGGACGCTGGCTGCGCCAAGGCCGCCGGAGGTGCCTGCTGAAGAGCAAAACAACCAGGAAAGCTTCTCCAGTCCCCTAAGCAACATCTCCCTCCCCTCCGCCGTTCCACATCCTCCCGCTCCCAAATCATCCTTCTTCGGAGGGTTCCTGAATATCTGAGAGCGCTCTCCTTTTCAATTCTCCCCCCACTCCAACCCGTCTAGAAACAATCCTTTAGGGGGCAGGCGATGCTCCAGGGAGCCAGAAGTTACCCTGGGTGGCATCCTTGCCTTATACACCTCCCTATAACGCTGACTACCACCCCCGCCCCCATGTGCCTTCTCATTCTTCTCCATACTTGCTCACTTGTGGGGAATACATCCCAGTTTTAAGAGCTGAGTGGGACAGTAGAGACGGTTTAATAGAACCTTCCGTAAGGCTCAGAGAAGGTAGAATTTGCCAAGAGCTACAGAAGTAGTGAGAACTCGCCATAGGACTAGAATTCAAGCCTTCAGTTAGTCCAATACTTTTTCCACTGTGGGCTGGGACTTTCCCTCCCATCTTTCTAAACCTTAATTATACACGTGCCTTAGCTCTTATGATCAGAAAAGAGCCCCAAAACAGTAAGTGTGGGAGAATAAAAGAGAAAACAATCCCCCCACTAACCTCCACACCGTATCTGTGCCACATTTTCTGTCCAAACCCTTCCTTGCATTTTGTTCCAAGTTCTCAGGAGAATCCAGGGGCACTTCACCCCAAAACTTTCCATCGATACACCCCAATTCCCAGAGCCATTTACCCTTTCTGCGAATCCCCCCCCCCTCCGTTTTAGAGCCACCCCCAGCTGCAGCCCGCCCCGAGCGCGCCGCCTGTTTATTCAGCCGGGAGTCCGGCACGCGCCAGGCGCACGCACTGCAACAACAAACCCGGCTGAATGGAGAGTTTGCAAGGAGCGGGCGCTGGGACTAGGAGGGGGGAGAGAAGAGGAGGAGGAGGGAGTTTAGGGAGTGGGTGGGAGGAGAAGGTAAGAGGAGGGGGAGTGGGGGCGCAGCCGCTTGCTGCAGCAGCGGGGAGTGGGGGGCGAGGCGGGGCCAGGGCTGCGCGTGGGGCTGGGTGTCCCATTGAAAAGGCGGCCGCAGTGCGGCCGCCCAGCACTCTCACTTCTGGCCAGGGAACGTGGAAGGCGCACCGACAGGGAGCCGGTCAGGCAGGGCGAGTGAAAGAAGGAATCAGAAAGAAAGGGGGTTAAAAAAATATAATAAAGACAGCCTCGGCCAAGGCTGGAGAGATCGAGACCTGGCGCAAGAGAGCGCAGCGGTAGGGAGAGAGGATCCGGAGACGCGAGACTCTGCAGATCGCGTTCAGCACTGACTTTTGCTGTTTCTTTTGCTTTTTTTTTTTTTTTTAATGACAAGAAGGCGCTAGCCGCAGCCTCACACGCGAGCGCCACGAGAGGCTCCCGAAGCCAACCCGCGAAGGGAGGAGAAGAGGGAGGAGGAGGAGGAAAAGCATTTGCACCTTCTTTGCTCCTACCCTTAGGAGTCTCTGGGGGATTTTGCATCTTTTTTCTTTAACTTTCCTTAGGCTTCCCTATTCATCTCTCCTTCTTTTCTCCTCTGTTCCTGCACCCAAGTCCTGTCTGTGCCCCACCTTGTGCGCCCCGCACCTTGCGTCTCCTCTAGCTCTGATCCCGCGACTCCTTGGCGGCCACTGCTCATGGAGAGCTCTGCCAAGATGGAGAGCGGTGGCGCGGGCCCGCAGCCCCAGCCCCAGCCCCAGCCCCAGCCCCAGCCTCAGCCGCAGCATTTCCTGCCGCCGGCAGCCTGTTTCTTTGCCACGGCCGCGGCGGCGGCGGCGGCGGCGGCAGCGGCAGCCGCGGCGCAGAACGCTCAGCAACAGCAGCAGGCGCCGCAGCTGAGCCCCGCGGCGGACGGCCAGCCCTCAGGGGGCGGTCACAAGTCAGCGCCCAAGCAAGTCAAGCGACAGCGCTCGTCCTCGCCGGAACTGATGCGCTGCAAACGCCGGCTGAACTTCAGCGGTTTTGGCTACAGCCTGCCGCAGCAGCAGCCGGCCGCCGTGGCTCGCCGCAACGAGCGCGAGCGCAACCGCGTCAAACTGGTCAACCTAGGCTTTGCCACCCTCCGGGAGCACGTCCCCAACGGCGCTGCCAACAAGAAGATGAGCAAGGTGGAGACGCTGCGCTCCGCGGTCGAGTACATCCGCGCTCTGCAGCAGCTGCTGGATGAACACGACGCGGTGAGCGCTGCCTTCCAGGCTGGAGTTCTGTCGCCCACCATCTCCCCCAACTATTCCAACGACATGAACTCCATGGCCGGGTCTCCGGTCTCATCTTACTCGTCGGACGAGGGCTCTTACGATCCTCTCAGCCCAGAGGAACAAGAGCTGCTGGACTTCACCAACTGGTTCTGAGGGGCGCTGCCTGGTCAGACCCTGCTTTGGAAGCAGGTAGGTGGAATTTTGGGGGTGGGGAGGAGGGTCCTCTTGTTCTGGTCCCTTTTCTTCCCCTTGAATGTCTGTGGAATGTGTGTGTGGGGGTGGGGGGGTGGAATGTCTGCATGGAGATGGTGGGATTTTTTTTAACTTAAAGAATTATTAAAGTTTGTCTATTTCAAATCCTAGTTTGTTAGTTTCAGTACTGGTTTCTGAAAGTGGCTTTGCCCAAGTCTCCTAAGAATGGAGGGTGGTGGGGATGAGGTGTGGAGATGCTGGCGAGATGCTGTCAAAAGAGGTGTTGACGTTACAGATTGTCCCAGGAAACCTCCGTGATCCTCTGCCACTACCCTGAAAGTTTACACTAACCTCTGTTCTTTTGTGTTATAGGGTGACCAAACAACCTGCGTCTTTAGTATTTCTCGTCAGTGACGTTGGGAGGGGAAAAAAAAGAAAAAGAAAAGAAGAGAGAATGGGGGGGGGAGGTGAACAGCCAAACCCAAGGCTCACTAAGGAACGCATGCCTGAGAGGCGAGACCCTCAGAAAACACGGATGTTCTCAGAACACTATCTTTGCACTCCAACCACTCTCGGAGATACGAAGAGCGACTGGTCCCTGATTTCAGGCGCAAGACGCGGCCGGTGTGCAAAGCCATGGGCTGCTGGCGGCAGGGAGCAGCACAAGTTCTATAGTAACTCCCATCACCGCTCACAGCCAGAGCTAAAAGCACTTGCTCCGTGCCTTGCCTCCCCGCCCTCTACAAATGGTTGCTGTCTTTCGTCTTAGTAACCCCATCCCAATAAGCTGTGGACATTCGTCTGCAGTGAAACTATGCTAAATTCAGTCCTTGGAAACCCTGCCCCTCTTCCAGGGGGACCCCTCCCCAAACTCCCCACTCTCCCTTACACCCTCTTTTCTACTGTTTTCATCATAGAATGCTTCCAATCTTTTGTGAATTTTTTTATTATAAGAAAAATCTATTTGTATCTATCCTAACCAGTTTGGGGATATATTAAGATATTTTTGTACATAAGAGAGAAAGAGAAAGAAAAAATTTATAGAAGTTTTGTACAAATGGTTTAAAATGTGTATATCTTGATACTTTAACATGTAATGCTATTACCTCTACATATTTTAGAAGTGTAGTTCACCTTACAACTGCCATTTTCCCTATGTGGTTTGTAAAGAACTCTCCTCACAGGTGAGATCTAAACACCACCAGATGTACTTCAGCACCAATGTGTCTTACTTTATAGAACGTTGTTAATGTATTAATGATGTTATTAAATACTGTTCAAGAAGAACAAAGTTTATGCAGCTACTGTCCAAACGCAAAGTGGCAGCCAGTTGGTTTTGATAGGTTGCCTCTTGGAAGTTTCTACACTGCCTTTTTTTTCTTACTGTTTTATTACAAACTTACAAAAACATGTATAACCCTGTTTTATACAAACTAGTTTCGTAATAAAACTTTTTTTCCTTTTTTTAAAAATGAAAATAATCAGCTGCTTGTAAGCCTTCTTTCACTCCATGCCCCTAGCTAAAGTTATCAAAATACCAAAGAGAAGGGTGGGTGGGGGACAGGAGGGTGGTGCCAAATGTGATAAGTGGTAGAAATGACAAAGATAAAAACTCTAGTCTGTCCTGCCCCAGTGGTGACTTTGTGATAGATGCAGAGGAAAAAGATGCTCTATCATCTGTTTATCTATAATATCTGTTTTCTTCTCTCTTATCTGTTGTAAATATACACAAATCCCAAGAAAATAGCTGGTATTCACCAGCTATTTTTATGGTTTGGATAAATTGATAATACATTTGAAAATCTCCAAAAAAAGTGAACAAGAAAGACAAGGTTCCCATCCCCCACTTTTCCACCCTCACCCCATCTGAGTTTCTCACTGTGGAGAGATGGAGGGGGGGTGCGGAAGGTGGCTGGAGCTCAAGGTTGAGGCTTGGAACAGGTCTCCCTCTCCACATACAAGCTCCTGGTGCTGGCTGGCTGTATCCCCTTTTCTCACTTCCAGGCATACATTTTCTACTCCTTTTCTCCCCAACACACACACTTTCCACATTGATGTTAAACTATTAAGCATGTATGATATGAATTCCTTGCAGAAAGAGTTAGATTTAAATAAAATGTGTGGTCGATTTTAGACACTGGCCTATCTAAGCCTGTGACTCTATCCGAATAGCGTGAGCTGCTTGTAAAAGTACCCAATTACCAAGATTCAAAAAGAAATTGGTGGGTTTTTGGCTGGCTTGCTTCTTGTCAGTTAGCAAGGACGTGATTAGAATCCTACTGGGCCTCTCTCCCGGCTCCTTGCTTGCCGCCTGCATTACTTGCAGATTCAGTTTGCGTGTCTCCAGCGAAGCGGAAAGCCTAGCGCAAAATGCATCTTACAAAACCCAACAAAGAACGGGGAGCCAGCACGTCTTCCAGAGTTAAAAATCTAGTCTGTGTTGGTACATCTATACCATTTAGTGGCACAGAATAGTCATTTTTTAAAGCCGCGATGAGCGGAGCACGCCACAGCGTCTGATGTCATTTTGCTAAATGACCCTCTATAGAATGCACATTGAGGCTTCAGTCCTTTTCAAAGAGATGAGCGTAATTAAGGGGAAAAAAAATCAGTAAATTCCTCATCGCCATAAATAATCGGACTTTCTGCCAGCAGTGGGCCAATTTAGAGCTTACTTGAGGGAAGTAAAGCTTTTGTGATGCCAGCTTTTATTTTTATCTTATTTGGAGGAACAGAGCTAGGCTCCCCACCCCCATTTCTTTTTCATTGAATTTAGCTGCTTTGCAAGTTTCCAGATAAGGTATGCAAAGAAACTGTAGCAAGTCATTTATGGCTATGAATATAACATTAGGATAATGTTTCAACCCCTACAAAGGGAATTTCTTTTTTTCATTCTCCCTTTGAGGACAGGTGTTCTTTTACCCACTTCTGAATGGGAAATATCCAGTCTCTTTAAACTCCGAGCAAAGTTAGCCGTTGTTTGCCACAATGCGAAGGCAAACTCGAAAAATTCACAAAAACACACACAATTTTGCCGAAACTAGGAAAGGGCAAAGCAGGGATTGGGCAAAATCTCATTACATCTGCTCTAATCGCTTAGCAACACAAAGCCAGGGCTTGTGCGGCGAAGGGGAGCTATTCACTGCGCTGTGACAGGCCGCATTCAGCCAGCATTAGTCAGCTCCATAAATCACCGCTGCCCATTGGCTGCGCGGCGGGCTTTGGAGCGGCCCTGGGCTGTCAGCGAAATACAAAATGTAGACCCCAGCGACTAGCAATTGCAGCCTCTTCCCGTCCCAGTCCCCACCCCACTTATTTTTGAAGCGGGGCGGGGGGTGGGGGTGGATGCTGGGGAAGAAAACTGTGTTGACTTTATTGACTGAGAAATCTTAACATTCAAAAAATGGCCTGGAGATCTTGAGTGGAGACTGGCCTGAAATTAACTAGAGGAGCAGAGAGTGCAGAGGAGAAAGAAATAAACAGACCCTCCGGAGCTGCGGAGCTGTTGAATGCATTCATTATCAAAGGCCAGGGTAGAGCCACTGGAGCACACGTTCCACCTCTGGGCACACAGTCTTTTTTTAATCTTTAAATTGCAAGTAGGAGAGTATGTATGGAGAAGGACCTATCTCAAGTTCACATAAGTCGGACCTACCCTTGAACTTAAAAGGAGTAGGGCCCAGATAAAGTAAGGGGAGAAGTGCAACATGCATCTCCACTTTGCTGTTCTTGCAGGGATGTTAGAACACAGAATTTTCAGCATCATTTTTTTGGTACCCACAGTAGCTAGATGAAACAATTTCAAAGACAGCAAATGCTCTTGTGGCCATCTGTAAATGTTGGTGCCTGTTGTAATTCTTCCGGTCCTGATTCCCATCCTCATGGGAACTAGATATAGATCTATATCTATATATAGATATAGATATATATCTATATATATATCAAATATCAATCACAATACAGCCCACATTTGACTCTTGGCCACAAGCCACATAGAAAGAAGCCTGGGAGTAGAAACAAAATCAAGGTAAACTTTCCTAGAAAGTCCAGGTCACCTTATCTCAAATGTCACCACCTCTAGGAAGCTTTCCCTCACTGCCCTATCTAAAGCAGCTCTCCATCTGCCACAGTCACTCTCTCCATTAACCTGATTTCTTTCCTGGTCTTTACCACCACGTGAAAATGCTGTGTCCTTGCTGGTTAATATGATTGTTGTCAATTGTCCCCTACCAGATGGTGCACTTCATGAGGACAAGGACCTTACTTGTCTTGTTCACTGTTATGTACCCAGCCCCTGGAAAGGTGTTAGGATAAATGGATCAGGAGAGTCTGCTCTGTTCCATGGATAGCTGTGTTATTTATCTTTCTCGCACTGCTCAGATCTGCCCTTCTCTGCTCTTCTCTGTGTTGCAGCAAGCTAATCTTCATGAAATTCGTCTTGACGGCATCCTTGTCCTTTGATTTACCCTTGGGTTTGACCAGTGGGAGGCACCAGTGGGAGATTGCCCAGTAGGAGGGGAAACAGGAAGGGGTACCCCTACTCCCTCATTGCCTGAGCAGTGATGGTGTTCTTTGGTCTAAGGCCACAGCTCTATAAGATGCTTCTGTCCCACAGGTACAGCTTTTGCTGAGGTCCAGAAGCAACTTTCTCCTCCTACCACTTCAGGCTCAAAGGGGATGACAGTTCCCCTTGTTACTAGCGTTGTTTGGGTGATTGGTTCCCTTGACCCTATCCTCATTTCCCTCTGTCCATTAAACACTTAATTGCCCGTTTAAGTCAGTCCATTAACTCTGGCTGTTCCTAACTGGTTCTCAGGTCATTACCCATGGATATACTAGTTTTATGTAAGATTTTCAGGGACTCACCGTGCTATCAGTAAGAAATTTCCTAGGGGCAGAGTGAGCCTAACTCTGCAATCTCCAACTCTAGAAAATCACTTCATCTTTTTTGAGCCAGCAATGGCTTAGCTAAAAGTTTGCAAAAGAAATTAG